CTCGGACTCCGGGTCCCAAGCCATCCTCCTGTCTCGACCCCCGCAGTGCTGGGATGGCAGGCAAGCGCCCCGGGCCTGGCCAGAGTTCTCAAGAGCTATCCACCGCCCCCCTTGAGTGGCCCCACCAGTACGCCAAAAGGTACAGTTCGGGCCCTTTTCCTTGAAACACGCGTTACCGGTGCGTCAGGACGTTTATCTCCCCCATCGTGGCCACTCGCAGCTCCGAGTCTCGCTAGAGTCTGTCCTCACCAGCTCAACATCCCTTTACCCACTAAAACCTTGGGACTTCAAGTATATTCTCTTCCGCAGTATCTCTGGAAAACAAGGCAGACGGCTGTACAAAAACTTGGAAGCGCTGTTTCTATTTCTCCACTGAGAGATACCTTTTGTTCTGTCTTTAGGCCAGTTCCCGCTTTCAACAAACGTTTTGCTATCCTCTTCTTACTAAGAAAGAACCAGGAAAAAAAAAGACTCACGGATAATAGTTTTAAACTTCCTTTATTATCAATACAGAATACCCAAACAAATTTTCAAGGAGTATTTTTGGTTCCAACAGATATTCACACTACCGAGATTTTACTTAAAGATTAGCAGATAAGCCATTTTATATCTTCATTTTCCAATTGTTCTCATTAAAGTCATTATCAAATTTTTAGTGATCAGATAAATAAGCTGTGCCTACCAACAGCTGTATGCTACTGCAAATATTATTCCTGAGCTGTCGCAGAAGGTCGTTATAGAGAAGATGATGCCTGTAGACATCACGATGACACCACTTGATAAAGCTTTCAAGAAATAACTGTCATACCATATGATTTTAAAAGATGAGAAAACAGGTATATAAGATGAACAGCAACTTAAAAGAAAATACTTTCAGTTCTTAGATTCAACATTATACATTTTAATTACTCATAAAAGAAGTTTAAGCAAATAGAAAAAAGTATATTACTTATAATAAATGTCTCATTAAATGAGTTTGAGGCTTAGTAGGAAGAAAATTTGTATTTATCTGATTTTTAGTATTGGAAGCCTTGAAAAAAAGCCTGTGCTTTATTGCAGAATTAGCAATTTGACAAAATGCAGACAGTAATAACACTTTCAAAAATGTATACAAATGGCAGCTCTGTACTTTGTATGTGTAACAGGGTAAATACACGTTTCTCAATTTAACCTATGAGCTACCTTTAGCATCAAAGCCAAGGAATTCTTTAATTTTATCGTATAACACCAACACCAGAGCACCCCCAGTACCACGAAGGATGTTGGAGAAGGCGCCACGGAAAAATGCGTTGATGCCCTCTTGTTGGTAGATCTTCGCAAAGCAGTCCAGAGTTCCTTTATATTGCCGTTCAGCCTCACCACTCTACAAAGACAAACAGTTCTCCATGATCTTAGTATCGTTTATCTTAGTAGAATGGTTCTAGGTCAGCACTAGGGATGGATAAGATAAACAGTGTGTCGAGTAACACTGTGCTGAGTGAATGTTGTCCCTAGTGGTGGGAGAATATTCATACTTCACAGGCACACTCGAAAACTGACCGTATACTAGGCTTCACAAAGGACATCATCACATAGACCGTGACTTATCCTCTCATCACACAACAAAAAATGAGGCATCAAAAGCAAAAAATAGAACGAGGAAAATATGTTTGGATATTTTAAAAAACCACTTTTTAGAAAATACTGAAAACCAAACGATAACCTAAAACTACCTTTCTAAATTGTAAGATGCAGCTTGAGTGGTAATTTATAAAGAAATCAATGACCTTGAAATATCAGAAAAGGCTGAAAATTAGTGAGCAACCTAAACACTTTTATAAAAAGTATAAGCCTAAAGAAGGTAAAAATAAGAGAATGACCAGCAAAAAAATAAGAGAAACAGAAAACGCACACACACACGCACACACACACGCACACAACAGAGAGCATAAGAAGAATCCAAAGTTAGTTCTCTGAAATACTTTGCTGACAAATTTCCAGAAATACTGTTTGAGGAAGAAAGAGAAAAGGTCCCAAGCTGATTAGAAATGGCAAAGGTAACAAAAATGTAGAAAGAGATTAAAGAGACAGCAAGATAATATTATGAAAAACTCCGTAACAATTATTTTTAAAAGAGAAATGGGTAAATTCCTAGAAAAATGTAATTTACAAGAGAAGAGAAAAAAACCTAATACTGTAATTGTTTAAAAAATTCAGTTAAGAATCTTCTCATAAGGAAAACCACACGTCCAGATGGATTTACACGTGAGTTCTGCCAAACATTCAATGAACATTTAATTCCAACTACGCAGAAATCATTCTAGAGAAAAAGTGGAAAGACTCCCCAATTTATTTTATGAAGCTTGCATAGCTGTGATACCAAAGTCAGACTAGGATGAAACAAGAAGGAAAAATACAAGCCAGCATCACTAAAACACGGAGGCAGAAATCCTGAACAAAACCCAGCAAATCAACCCCAGCAAAGGAAACAAAAGATATTATGACCAACCTGGGATTATCCCAGGCATATAAGGTCAGTTAAGCTCTAGAAAACAGATTAATGTAACACAATATGTATATTAAGAGAGAAAAAGAATATGGCTGTCTCAATATATAGAAAAAACATGACTGCCATTCATAATTAAAAACCGTTGTAACTGGAACAGAAAGGAACTGCCATTACATGATGAAAGATAATGTCAAAAACCCCACAGCTGACATTAAACTATATAACACTGAAGGTGTTCCTTGTGAATTAGGAACAAGACTAGGGTTGCCAGTTCCTACTTCGATTAACACTGAACCAGGTGTCTCAGCGAGTATACAAAGACAAGAAAATAAAAGGCATGGGGGGGGCGACTGATATGATTTGCAGATCATATGTGTCTTTGTAAATAAAAACCCTCAAAGCCTGTACATATAGACTGGTGTCTGTAACAGCATTAACAAAGTTGTAAGACATAAAATGAAAACACAAAAGTTAACTTTTGTGTTAACTTATAAGGACATGACTGTCCTTATAAGAGGGGAAGAGAAGAAAAACCATGGGGAGACAGAGGAAGATGGTTACCTACAAGCCAAGGAAAGAGGGCATCAGAAGAAACCCTGGTCTGGCACAGTTGCAGGGCTCATGCTTGTAATCCCAGCACTTTGGGAGGCCAAAGTGGGACCTCCTGAGCTCAGGAGTTTGAGACCAGCCTGGGCAACATAGTGAGACCTCATCACTACAAAAAAAGAAAAAATTGGCCAGGTGTGGTGGCATGCACCTGTAGCCCCAGCTACTCAGGAGGCTAAGGTGGAAGGATTGCCTGAGCCCAGGAGGTTGAGGCTATGGTGAGCCCTGATTGTGCCATTGCACTTCAGCCGGGGTGACATAGTAAGACTATGACTCAAAAAAAAAAAAAAAAAAAAAAAAAAAAAGCCAACCCTGCTGACACCTTGATCTTAGACTTTTAGCCTTCAGAACTGTGAGAAAACAAGTTTCTGCTGTTTAAGCCACCCAGTTTGTGGTACTTGTTTTAACAGCCCTAGTAAGCAAACACACACACACACCCCTACATTCTCACTTTTCTTCTGTGCCATTTTAAGTTGCAGACATCATGTCCCTCATCCTCAAATATGTAGTATTTTCTAAAAATAAGACTATTTTTCTCACATACCCAAAATAGTTATCAAATTCAGAAAATTTAGCATTTATATAATACCATTTACATAATCCAGAGACTATATGTCACTTAATTTTCCAATAAAAAGTTTCTCAATGACTAATTAGAACTAGATATAGAAAAAGGAGACACAGTCATAAAAGGAATAACTCTAAGGACAGACCATGATCTTAGTAATGGGTGAGTTTTACACTTCCAGATGTCCTACTGGGCTCTTCAAGATCATCTTGTAGACAGTAAGAATGAGAATAATGATAGTAACTATACCTCACAGCACTGCTTTGAGAATTTAGTGAGTAAAAATGTAAAAATCTTAGTACAAACCACATAGTAATAAGCACTATATTACTACTCTAGCTTTCTGGCCTGTTTTTACTTGCTCTTATGAAACCTATCTGCCTCCCTGGCTATACTGAGCTGCTTCTCAAGTCATACTTCTAGGTATGATTCCCCCCTCCCCCATGCTTAGAATGTTCTCTCACTGCCTGGAGAAAGCCTAGTCACTGAAATGCAGCTCTCCAAGAAGCTGTATCTGATCACTCTTGAGTATCTGGGCACCCTCTGTGTGTTCCTGGAATCCTTACATGTTTCTATTAAACCATTTACTGTAGGAGTTTCATTACTGGATTTGGGTGCAGGCTCTGCCTTATTTTATTTGTTAGCAGAGATCAAGCACTCAAATATTTGCTGAAAGAACGAACACCATGAACACAGATTGAGTATGCCTTACTTGAAATGCTTGGGACTAGAAGTGCTTCAAATGTCTCCACATTTCTGCATCAGGTACTTCCCAGCCAAGTATCCCAAATACAACAAGCACATCCAAAATGCTCCAATGAGCATTTACTCTGAGCATCACGCTGGTGCTAAAACATTTTGGACTCTGGAGCGTTTTGGATTTTGGATGTTCAGCTGGCATTATATCCATGGAGAGCAAATGTCTCAAAATTTTGGTTTAGGATTTACAACTGGAACACAGATCATCCTAAACAAGTTTTCATCCTTGGAGTTCATAATGACTTTTATCAAAATACACTACCACAAAGGATGACATATTTCAAAGGCTTGGGACTAGCTTATTCTATTGACTCCCGTATTTTAGTGAACACACACACTCTGATCCCGTTTCTGCCATCACCCTCCACCCTCAAGCAGTATGTACAGGAGAAGGAGGCATTTCTATTCCGACAGCAGGCAAGGAAGATGCTTGCAGGCTGATGGCTCCTTGAGGACAGGAAAGAACGTAAGACAGAAGACACCGTGCATTCGCTTTAGCCAAGTAAAACAAGTGGCTTATGCCTTTCACCAAACTGTCTCTAAGATTTGATTATACCAAGATATCAAAGGCAGTAAAGACATCAAGTAAGCTTACAAATAAGAAAATGAAATACCTGCATCATCATACGTCTTCTGACTGTGTCAAAGGGATAAGAAAGTATCCCAGAGCACGTGGTCACAACTTGAGCAATGAAAAAAGAGACAAGAAACGGGGTTTCCTTTGGTTTTGGTAATAAGCCCTAGAAAACAAAAATGTTTCAAGTAACTGTTCACATTTCTTTCTTTTTTTTAGAAAGCGGGATTGAGAGGACAGAAAAGCTCCTGAAATGAGCTAAATCAGTTAATAAAACCAAATTGCTAGCAAAATAACAGTATCAACCAGCTTACTCCATTTTGTTTAAAACTTCCATCTTAGTTGCCTGCCTGACCTAAGAATCACTCCTCAATGCCTACGTGTGATTACAGTAACGTTCCCATGACCACAGACCTCCCGCTTTGTCCCCTTTGGGCAGGTCATGCTTACCGTTTCCTGCTGACTGTTACAAAACTCTTTAGCCCTAAGTTCCATATAATTGTATGCTTTGTTAATTGAAATAAAATGTTACATTTTGCAAAACCCCATTGTTAAATTTTCGTATTTTGTTCTTATTTTTCTGTTAGTGACCTAACCAAGATAACTCCATTGTGTAATGATTATTCTACCTTGTCTCTATGTAACTAAAAACTATCTTGTTGGCAGAACTCCAGGGACTTTCCCACACCACCAGCTATACCTAGGACATGAAATTAATCAAAACTCCCTAACAATCAAAAGTTCCCATTTTGGTTGTCAAGTTGTTAGTAATGGTTGCTATGGTCACTAAGTTGCTATGTAGCCAACACTGCAAATTTTACCTATAAAACTTGTCACAAACTGCACTAGTTTGTCAAGAGTTTTTCTGGCATTTGCCTGCTCTTGGCTCACGCATTAATAAAAAATTCCTAATTAATTGGACTTAGCTTGCTGGCATGACTTCTTGCTTACTTGGTCATAACACTCCCACAGTGGGAGGGGACCCAAAGGGGTTGCCCGACTGTTCACATTTCTAAAATACCTCGAGTCCTCACGTCAAAGGGTAATTTGTACAAACATATGATGGAAGGCTCACATATACTTAAAATGCAATAAAAATAGTTGGATTTAACAGTAGGAGATCAATAAGAAATGGGAATGCCACGAGACTATATTTCAAAGCTATACCTGAAAAAATAAAGCCATGATATTTAATGAGCAGCTTTAAAGCTCTCAGCTCATATCTGTCTGGGAAAAACCTTAAAAACAAAATGTAATCTACCTAGGACAATAAAAATGACATTCTTATAATAGGGAGGGCAGAGATAATATATTTATCCATTATGAAATTGTCCTTAGGTTGTACACTTATTTAATAAATAAAATCAATGTTGATTTTGCTGCTTCCTTTTAGAGACATTATAGTAATAATGGCAGTAAATACAGCAAAACTTTATGGTAAATGAGGCTGGAGGCGTTTTGCTTGACATTTAACAGGTACACCACTTCACCATTTCTAACCGATTTTAAAATGGGATTTTAAAAGCTAGTCCAGGACACTGTGAGGATATAAAGTACTTAAAAAGATTCCTAGAGCCAAGTAATAGCTCAAACATGCATAGCAATGACTACAATTTTCCTTTCCCCACCTTATGGAAGTGTTATTAGAACTGGAAGTAAAAAGAAAAATTGCAAAACACCCCGAAGGATACAGCACAGAAGCTGACACAGAAGACAACCTCGCTAGCAGCAGACAACCATGCTAGAGTCACAGCAAATGAATTAATTATGCCTCAACTACTTTCCAAAATAACAACAGTAAGTTGATTCACCACATGTAAAAAAGTGATAATAGAGTTAATGTAGACATCAGAAAAACTGTTGGAAGATGCCTTTCTATATGCCAAATATTTGATTATGATGTAAGCCTAATTAGCATGTTTTCCATTTGCAACATGATGTAAAGCGCAAACACCACAAAAGCTGAATGTCTTGATACATGCTTTCTAACTAAAGTCAGATCCATAATGCAGTTGTAGTTTAATCAGGCTACGGCAAAGTCATGATTGGACTGAGTTTCATGTCTCTCTTATCATTTACTTTTATTTCTATAATGAAAAGCGTATATGCTGAAAAGCTACCAATCAGAGCAATAAAAATAAACAAACCATTTGATATATTTGAGTTAAATCTCCCAAGTTACCTTAACTGTGTCATAAGCTCCGAAATAAGAGGCTCGGTACACAATGATGCCCTGAACGGAAACACCAAACCCTTGGTATAAGCCGATAATTCCATCTGATTTTGCTATCTTCATAATACAATCGCCTAAGCCCTTGAATTGTCGCTCTTCAGGACCTAAAATGAAGTCATTTAAAATCCATCAAATATATCGAAGAAACTCTTTAATCAAAGTAAATTAAACATTTGCAGATTTAAACACTCTGGAGCTGTCACTTAGGAATCCAACGAAGTCACAAATCAAAATCCTCCCACTCATCTAAGGAGAATGAAGATTTCGAGTAGCAAAAAAAAATTAAAACCAATCTCTTATGATATTAAGATTTTATTAAAATTAAAATATTAATCTCCACCACAGTCAAGACAGAAGTAAGTACATGGAAGGATCTAGGAAGGGCTGTCTAAACACCATCAGAACTTAGTTATACACAGGCTTTGTGTTCACTCTTTTGTTACAACAGGTTTCCCTCTTTTACTTTTTTTTTATCAAGTATGTTTCCCATACAGGTAGGCATAATAATGTCTGCCTCCATTCCTTAAGGTAAAGAAGAAACCAACATGCTTGTCAGTATTTTAATATGCCGTAGGCCCTATGACTCTGCCATTTGGCTGAGAATAAAATTTGTAAGCTTTACCTGGTAACACTGTGATAACTCTGCAATTAATGACACATGGTTCAAAACACAAAGAAAGTAAGTTCATATTTCCAAAACTCCCATACCTTTCCCAATATCGACACCCAGTCGGGTTCGAGCAAAATCTAGAGGATACACTACACACAGGGACGTTGCCCCAGCTGCACCACCGGAAGCCAGGTTTGCCAAGAACCACCTCCAGAACTGAAACACATCAATTACAAGGGGTTAATAAGTATAGAATGTGTCTGAAATAGCCAATAAATGCTTATTTTCATAAATGTTAAAAAACAGGTCTACAAGTTGTTTCCATATGGTAAACATCTATAATAATGTATACCATAATATCCAAAATATTTCTTTATAGACATGCAGCCTTTCTCACCTGATAGTCTAGGAATATAGTTTAGATCAGGGGTCCTCAAACTTTTGAAACAGGGGGCCAGTTCACTGTCCCTCAGACCATTGGAGGGATGGACTATAGTTTTAAAAAAAACTATGAACAAATTCCTATGCACACTGCACATACCTTATTTTGAAGTGAAAAAACAAAACGGGAACAAATACAATATTTAAAATGAAGAACAAGTAAAGTTAAATCAACAAGCTTACCAGTATTTCAATGGGAACTATGGGCCTGCTTTTGGCTAATGAGATGGTCAATGTCCGGTTCCATATTTGTCACTACTAGCCGTAAGACTGAGAGGAGGAGTCGAGAGACAGAGAGAAGGAGGGGAGTCGGAGAGTGCGACGCACATTCCACACATGCACACTGCGGGCCGGACCAGTCGGCTGCTAAGCAGGACAGGCAGCTGCGGCAAAAACACCCGGTGGACCGGATAAATGTCCTCAGTGGGCTGCATGTGGCCCGCGGGCCCTAGTTTGAGGACCCCTGGTTTAGATGCTGACAGACTGAAATTCCAGGATAATTTAATGTCCTCTGGCAGAGTCACTCAAATCAGCAAAAGAGGTCACCTATGATAATCATCTCTTTACACTGCATACTTTGTTAGTATTAGCTACATATTTTTGGTTAATAAAAATGTTCACTAATAGCCGGGCTCGGTGGCTCAGCCTGTAATCCCGCGCCTTGGGAGGCCGAGGTGAGTGGATTGCCTGAGCCTGCGGGTTCGAGACCCGCCTGGGCAACTTGGTGAGAACTTATCTCTACAACAAATCAAAAACTTAGCCGGGCGTGGTAGCGTGCGCCTGTAGTTCCGGCTACTCGGAAGGCTGAGGCGGAAGGATCGCTGGGCCCAGCAGGTCGGGGCTGCGGTGGCTGGGAGCGGTCACTGCACTCCAGTCTGGGCGACAGAGTGAGACTCCAAATCAAAAAAAAAAAAAAAAAAAATGTTTACTATTGATTAAAATGTCAGGCACATATGGAGGCTTTAGGAGTGGCCTTTTTTGGAAAGGGGGCAGTTAAGTAGTACTTCATAATGCCCCAATTTCACTTTGTAGAATTAAATTTGAACAGCCCAAAAATATATATTTAATTATGTTCATATGGTGACAGGAACATGGGAAGACATCCAGTATAATGAGGTTAAGTGGCATGTAAGTTAGGCCTTATTGGTCTACTGGTTCACACTAGCTGTTAAGGAAGTAGAATTCTTTTTTGATAAACATTTAAAATGTATCCTTCTCAGGTCCAGCAAGTGGCTTTCCAACATCTACGGCTTACAGCAGAACAAAGGAACATTTGAATTTGAACTGTTATGGATAATCCAGGGTGCAAGGCCATTGCAACCATTAAATACATAAAAGTGAATAATATTCTAGTCAGGCTCAGTTTCTTTGCTTTATTCTCTGGCTCTTATTTCTTTTGGTGGAGGGTTGTTTTACTTAATGTCTAAAGTTAGAATACAAAATTATATTGATTAAAAAATATTTTTCAGAGTAGTTTTTTTTTTTTTTTTTTTTTTGAGTTGGAGTCTCACTCTGTCACCCAGACTGGAGTGCAGTGGCCGTTCCCAGCCACCGCAGCCTCGACCTGCTGGGCTCCGGTGATCCTTCTGCCTCAGCCTTCCGAGTAGCCAGAATTACAGGTGCGTGCTACCACGCCCGGCTGA